ATATATATATATATATATATATATATATATATATATATATATATATAATGTTCCTGAGAAAACGGAGTGGTCATTTTAAAAAGTTGTTACAATTATTAAATCTTTTAAATTTTAAATCTTTACTGTCTAGACCAGGTGTCACTTTTCTTTCTCTTCCCCAAACTCCACCAGAATGGCACAGCCTCTTGGAACAGGATGCCTTGAGGGGTCCCAAAGACTCATTTCTGGCAGAGTTTGGGGGAGAGAAAGAAAGACTTTTGCTGCTTTCCTTGCATGCAGCCAAAAGCATAAGAAGAAAGAAGTAGAAAGAAGCAGCCTGGTAGCCAGGTGAGGTGCATGGGGCGAGTGGGGCAAGTTCCTCCCCCTGCCCTTTCCCGTTCCCCTCACTACCTCGTATTGTTTGCAATGCAAGCGATGCAAGCCTTGTATTCCCGCGGCCATGTGGGCAGCGCAGCCTTGTGTTCTCACGCAGCCTGGATTAATTGCTTTGGGGGGGGGTGACATTTCTCTGCAGACCACCAAAATTTTGTCATGGACCACCAGTAGTCCCCAGCCCATTGGTTGGTGACCACTGGCCTAGATATTAGCTAGATGAAGGGCTACTGACAAGGGATGGAATGAACCTCACAAAAATTGGAAACAGTATATTTGGAAAAGGACTAGCTTATCTTCTTAGAATTTTAAACTAAAATTGAGGGGGGGCAATCTTCAAAACTTTTAGAACTTAATTCCAAACAAAAATCACTAGGTAACCAATTATATAAGGATGTAGGGATTAAAAAGGGAGGAGGAGGAGAAGAAAAGGAAAAATAAAGTGAAGCAAAGAGTGATTGAAAGGATGAAAAACCCAGATACAAAGTAGGAGATATAAGGAACATACCCAAGACCCATAAAGGACTGAAAGGCCTATACACTCAAAGTATAGGAAAAAAATCAGGGTTTACTTGAAATACTAGTACATGAAGGTAAATATGAAATAGTTGCCATTACTGAAACATGGTGGCGTGAAACTGATGAATGGAATGTCATCAGTTTGGAAAGATACAAACTATTCAAAAG